AGCACTAAAACTTATTCAGAAGAATGGATACATCACGCATCATGAAAATCAAATGACATGGTAGTGAAACAGAAGAGCAAACAAAACGGCAAGGAACGTCTTTGATGGCGTGATTCACCANATGCTGACACTACAAGAGCTACATACATACTTAACATGACAGCATACGTTTTAATCGCATAACTAAACAGACCACGCCTCCGTAAGGATCAAGAAGATTGGAAGCGAAGTGTTTCAATTACTTGGTTGATGGTCCTAATTCTAGGAGGTATCTTGAGTTATACTTGGCCAAAATGTGTCCAATACTCCTAACGACATGGATCCAGAACTAAAACTAAACAATAAATTTACTGAGCAAGCCAATCACAAGCAGTAGTACGTTGCTGACAATCAAAAACGGAACACAGCATCCGAAAATTGCTTTCTGAGAAATCTCAATCAACTTCCTTTTTACAAAATCAGATGAACATACCTTGGCCCGTTCATCGCCCATAAGGTAAAGCTCCTGTTCACCCATCCAGGCCTCAGCTTCGCTGGCATCGAACAAATATTGCTGTGCAACTTCGTTGTCCAACAGCTTCTGTTGTCGATCGGACATGACCTGTTCCAACTGTCCCCAGAGAGCCCATAGCTCATCTATAGCCTCACGGAATCGTTCGCTCCTGGGGTGTCCTTCTTGGATCATTTGTTCACCCTCCTGAAAATTAAATCAAAATGGAATCGTGTTGCGAGAGTCAAAAGAGAGACGATTATTCAAAGTTTTATATCAATTAGCATGCTGGGATGAAAAGTAATCATCTAAAGGTTAACAAAAACGAAAAAAGCGTAGTGAATAATACCAGAGATAAAATTATGAAGATTGTTACATTGCAACACCATTGACCATGAGTTGAGCCCCTGTTCTTCGGTCACTACCGAAGATAACAAAATTGGCTGAAGTATCAATGATTGTCGCACTCAGCTAGAAGAGGAAGTGGATGCATGAGTCCTGTGACAAGACGATAATAAACAAACAAAAAATGGTAATTAACTTTTGGGCTTGACTCTGAAGCTCTATTAAGATCCTAGGTACTTTAAGGATTTGTAATTTCGATAATGTGGAAGCGATAGAGTAGCATCGACGAGAATAACAACAGAGAAGCATGCTCGTAACATATTCACAAAATTATAGGAAACACCGTGAAAACTGGAACAAAAATTGTCCGGACGATACGTGAAACAGTTGATCTATTAATTTCGTTTGATGAAAGACGAATGTGAAGGCTCAACAATGAGTGGATTGGAATCCAAAATATCCAGATTTTGATGGCTCTATCAGGTTTGAGTGTTTTATTTTTGGGAACTTTGTCACCTAAAACTACTCGAGTAAACACGTACGGTGCCCTAGAAACAGACCCAAAATCCTTCAGGAAGGCGAATCTCCCATTAAAAACCTACTTGACAAACAGATTCTATCCGTGGTCGATGATATTCCACCTCGTTAGCGAGCATGCGATGACGACGCAAAAGCTGTTGTGTGGCTAACAATGAGTTGCCCAGTTTGCTTGAATCCTCAATGAGTGCAAGTTTCTCCTTGACCCAATCTTTCTCGTCTTCTATGTCTCGGAGGAATTGACGCACGCGTTTCTGTTTCAACAATCGGTCTCTGCGGTTGGCGAGAGGCGCTTCCAGTTCGGTCAGACGAATACGGACCTCTTGATGAACTTGCTCAAACTCTTCCTGGCGTTCTGGGTACTGCTCCTTGAGCTTCTCAGCATGAGTCTTCAAGGAAAAATGAAACAGAGGATCGTCGTTATATCGCAATGAATGGCGTCCTTAATTATTGTTTTGAGATTATTTACTGGTCAAGGAATATGATTTCAATTTTACCGCTCCATGAAACATGTGATCGTAATAGTGAAAATAAAACGATAATGAAGGAAAACACAAAGTAAACAAAAACTAGCGTACACCGAGTAGTGCAAAGTGCGTGTAGAAATATTGACACAGATCTGGTTGCAACTTTGTCAGAATGTCAAGCGCACTATGCGCGTGAACAGTGAAGCAACCGGACAAAGGATTTACGGTAAACAGGAGGGAGCCACAAAATCGCCTTCGAATGGTCGAGTGTTTCAGCCGGTCACCTGTTCTTTGCAACTCGCCAAATGCTCCCATACGACCAAGCGTCTCAAATAGCCTCTGCTGAGGAAGTCCTAATCACTGCCTTCTGGTGGCGGTGTTTTCCCACCAAAGTGAGAGGATGAAAAGTCGACATCTGAGGATATAGCCGGGTTGGTGGACCACTGGTAGCTCACCTAGAGGCGATGGCTAAAACCCTGATTCCAAACCAACTAAGAGAAGACGTGCGAACCAAGCACACACTGTCCTGATCATGGTAGTGGTCACCGGCTCGATTGGGCATGCAGGTGTATTAGGCACCTTGGACGTTTGACCCCGTCCAAAGGGCGGGTGATCCGATGAACTGGACACCGGCCTCCAATGGACTGCGGTTTTCACACACCGCCCTGCTGCCTTGCGGATCAGGCTTTGACTAACCGAAGGCTCCGGGTGTAAACTTCCTAAGAAAATTTACCTGCATTGGCCTGGGCGACCTAGCAGTATCATGCCCTCGAGCAAATCATGAACGTTTTTCTTTTTATAAACATTATTGTACTGTGATTTGTTGGCACACAGCCCGAACTAAGGCGTGTGAAAATATAAATATAAATCCGTCAAATCCCGATAAATTAGTAGGACTTTACTTCGCGAAAGGTTTACTGATCGATGAACATTTGACCTTGAAATCAGCATTTAAAATCAACAGAATCAAAGAAACACCTGCACGCACAATTGCAGGAAGTCGAATAAAGTGAATGAAAAACTAACTGCTTGTATTTTTTCCATTCTATTGATTTTTCCTGAGTGCTCGTTCGTTTTGTACTTGACTGGTAGAATACAGATAGTATAATACATTGGAGCAATTTATCCAGATTCTGAAATTTTCATCTAATAACCCTGGAGTTTTATTCGAACAACCGGCAAAGCACTAGAATGAAGAGTGAACTCAACATTTTTATCATGAAACGATTGAGAAGCCATCTTAATCACATTCGTAATCCACGAACAGTAAATCAATGAGGAAAACGGCGATCGGCTCCAAGTGTGACAAGAAAACCACTGACGGTGCGTCATTTTTACTCTGATTGGAAGGCAACCATCTCTGATGAATGTATATCGCTAGGTCTATGACTAGTTGGAATTGGTAACAAATGCAATGGTTTGGATCATCACGAAAGCCAGTGCGCGTCCTTCTCGAGTCGTATGCTTTTATGAATGTATGAAATTGCAGTTAGATGTGACTGGCAGCGATTCTGAATTGCTGGTACGAGAGATTCAACTGACCAAGTAGATACAGGTAAACAGAGCTTCGTTGAAACCGATTACGAGTGGTCAGTGGCGTAGTACGAGGATGAAGTAAGATTTCATATACCACATTCCTTTTCCGACAATAAGCCAGGAGTGTTAACAAGCAATATTTAGAGGCGTGTATACTAAATCCACTTTTGACTGACGCTCATGAAATCACGCTGTTTGATATTAGCATTTCATAAACCTCCGCAAGAAGATAGATACCACTGAGGACATATTTGAGAACTAATCCTTAAAAACATGAGCAATTACTGCACATCCTCAGAGTGAATGTTATGTTATGCACCAACAAAGTAGAATGAGGTGCCAGAAATCGCATACCGCTCTCATAAACGGTAACACGGTATCTTTAAGACACCAAAATGATTCACACTGCAGAAATTCTGTTGAAATTTGTCCATGCAAGGGGGCACCTTATATATAACTGTGACCAGTTGGTTGTCAGAGTAAAACCCGCATAATTGATCACAAACGTGGTCAGGGAGGCGGAACTGCACAAGCGTATCCGGTCATTTTATCTAACCTTAGTTTCCTTGCGTGAGTCAGTTGTCATCAGTGCTTTGATCCCGGGAGCGCTTCCACACTCGTCTGATCGTTTCATACTATACGATTGAAGTATCACCGTTAGGCCAAATGCCATATGGACGCCACTTTTCAGATCACATTTGAATCAATGGTTTTTCATTTCCCACTGGAGAAGAGGATACCGATCAGCTTATTTTGGGATGCTGTGTTCTATACGGANCCAGAAATCGCATACCGCTCTCATAAACGGTAACACGGTATCTTTAAGACACCAAAATGATTCACACTGCAGAAATTCTGTTGAAATTTGTCCATGCAAAATGATACCTAAAAAAGTATTCAGTTGTTACGCACCTTCCGACACACAAGAATAAAGGGGGTGCATTATAGTCTAGGATAAGCTTATGTACAGGTCTTCCAGTCACCTACCAAAATAAAGCGAAGTGCGAGCGAAAACGGAAGATCTAAATTGCAAGTCGTTGCAGCATCGTTCACTCTTCCCTTTACTCTTTCATCTAAATGAGCAGTCATGAGACAGTGACAAACCGGTTCACGAAAGTGCACGATTAATGGTTGTAAAAACCGAAACTGAACATTAGTTGAACGTAAAAAGCGACATCAGTGATGGGGAATGCTTGATTTGCTATCATCTACGTACCATAACAATTTCACAAAATATAATGTAGGTTAAGCGATGAAGAGAATTAGGATAGCCGGCATTCGAAATGGATACCAACCAAGACGACAACCATTTGCGAAATATGGCTTGATGTTTGACTTTCAAGTAGGCATACCTCAGCGGCACTCAGTTATTCTGCAAACCATCTAGAAGGTATGGAGAGTCCGTTGAATAATCGTTATGATTGCAGAGCAGAATATAATTAAGAATCCCTTAACGCTAAGTGTAATAACTAGTATGGAAAACGAGCCCAACGGTCATAGGGATCTTATGTACAGTCCCAGCCACCAGAAACGTGAGTACCGCTACGTGAGGTGTAGTACATAACTTAAATTCTAATGTTGGACTGCCTGTAGCTGAACCAACGGATTTGATGGCTATTCAAGGAAACTTACTGCGGTTTCCTCAAGAAATCCTTCAAGTGAGGTTGATGTGTCTGTGTCGCTCGCGTGCCCTTTGACTTCCCGCGCTCCAACTCTGCACTATCATACACATGAGCAGAATTATTTCTGCATTAACGCTTCCATGTTTTTTTTCTCGATTGGATTCAATTACCGGTACGTAGCACGGAGTTCACTACTTGTGTAGAGAAGACACTGGAGCTGGTTGGCAGGTAGCTTTTAACTGCACCACTCCATTCCAACATTACTGAGTACCAACACATGTTCTCTGTACGCGAAAATCTCGGGAGTTTTCACTTGCTCTCTGGTCTCAGATTCATGTTCAGACTTGTAATATTTGCATAGAGGAATCATGGTTGAACCCTGTAAGTTGCGGACAAGCTTGGGTCTAACGATGGCTTCGAGTTGTACTGACAGACAATTTTCAGCAACAAGAAAACTGGTGGCGAGTCAGAAATTATTAGCACATACTCAAGCAATGGTGTTGTTCGTTTATTCAGTGTTCTCCTAAATTCTCCCTAAATAGAAACATCTTGATAACAAGCTTACATATGGTTTGGTTTTGCACACAAAACACTGTATTGGCTTTCTTTGACTCAGTGCTACTCTCGTTCAATTGGTAGAAGACATCATTGTTCATGATTTTCACTTTGCATGCATTTACATTATATATATGCATGATGCACTTAGTTGGTTTAAAGCTAAAATAGTAGATCTTGCCAACCAAGTGTGTGTTGCTGATCGGGACTGATTAGTGTCTTGCTATAGGGTCATTGGAAAGCGTCAGAACTTAGAAAGAACGACGTTTTTATTTCAAGGCCCGATAAGGGATCAGAAGCTGTCATCATGAATAAACAGGATTAGATTCGAGAAATGCAAAAGTGATTTTGGGTAGAAGATTTGTTCCTGACCGCTCTGGACGTGACCGAACAGCTACTGTACAACAATCGATTGCGCATGAATCACGTCAGTTGCATAAGGATGGCCATATTAGTGCCATACTTGCTCAACTCCTTTTCGATGGGCTGAAGTGTAATTTGAATATTTGCCTACACTAAAATCTAAACAAATGAAAATTAAAAACAAACCCTTTATTATTTACTGGAAGTGACTAACATGAAATTCATGAGTGATGCTAATTGAAGGTCGATGAATACAAATTTCCAGTGCGCCATTGCTTTACTCAACAAGGAACCTTACTGGAATGAAGGAGATGCGCTGCAGAGATAGGAGACGCGAACACTTACTGCCATGTCCTCCAGCATACGGCGCTTGGTCGCCAATTCCTGATCTTTACGGTCTTGGTCTTTCAAGTGCTCGTTAAGCTCCACCAGCCCGATCTCTTCGGTCACCTCCTCGGTAGTGGTAACTATCTGGGAACTGACCTCAGTTATCCAGGTCATCATGGACTTGGCGGTTTCATCGAACAGCGTTTCTGGTTGGGAGAAATTACAAGACGAAAAATGAATGAGTTCAGACCGATTGATTCAACCGAGAGTTGATAGAAATATGTTTCGGTTCATTGATTTACCTCGGTTAGCATCTGCCATCTTGGCGCTCTTTTCCGCAGCGGTCGTGTTGAGTTCATCCCATTGGCGACGCAATGCAGCAACCCGAGGTTCGATTTGAGGCTGAAGAGTAGGATGAGCCTCCAGCAAACCTTGTCCCTCCTGAAAGCAGACAAAGACAATTGAGTACATGTAAACAGATAAATAAAGTGCGCAAAAACAATGAGACACCCAAAATCATATGCAGACCCTGACTCACCTCGATGACTTTGGCGATTTTATCTTTGTTGGCGTCCAATTCACCCTCAAATGCCTTGAATTTGCCATAAAGTAATGCAATATTCTTTGCAACTGGCTGTGGTTGTTCGGTAACTGCCACTGCTTTCTCTGTAAGCCATTCCTCAACCTAAAATGTGAAACATTTGGTTGACTTCAAACAAGGCTTTTTACTCACGTCGTCAACTTCTTGACAGAACTCTTGCAAATGCAGCTGCTCCCGTAGCTGCTCCTCCTTTTCAGCCGCGCGTTTCTTCAACGAATCGCGTCTGGAAAAAAAAGCAGCCAAACATAAGCCGACTCAGTAGATGAATGGGTACGAATAATATTGTATCATCATATGAGATTGAACAGCAGGCAACGGAATGTGTCACTCAGTTGAAGAGTGAAATCATCTGTCCATTTTGTATGCACAAACAATGTAATTCTGAGACACAGAATTGCGCAAACTTGAAATAGGATTTACAATTTTCTGGAGTAGCCAAGCCTTGATGCACAGAAACAGTATCCCTCGGTTCCGTGTACTTGTACATCTACGTTTCGACCACAGCACAAACAGCAGAAAGTCCTTCAGGAGGTCATTTCGGGCGCAAAATTAATGACTACACTATACATGAGAAATAGGAGAAAACGACTGTCAATGAGGATACTGGTGAGAGCTAAAGATCTCTACATGTCTATTGTATATATTCACCTACCTCCTGAGTGGTTAACTGAGTTCACATACTGAACACAATCAATCACATGAGCAGTGCCACAAAATATGGAGTAACTTAATGTTATGTAGACATGTTGCTTTCGATTTATCCAGGCCTAGGTGTCCAACACCAGAAGCTTTCAATAAGAAAACCAAATCGGAAAGGTAGCAGGATAGAGCTCAGGGTTCACCGTCCATTGCAAACCAGTCTCNGGACTATAGATCCGATGCCCAATTAATGGTCGAAGTTCGTACGTCTCTTCTTATTTCGTTTGAAATCAGGGTTTTCTTCATTGCAGGTGACACATGACCACCGTAGAATATTGAACAGTAACCATGTTAGGAAACTCGACCTGAATGCCTACATAGAAATCATTCCAAGGATTATTCACCGATAGGAATTTGTCCGAAAGCTTATTCCTACAGAAACTGAGCTGAGGAAGGCTGAACGTGAAGATGAAACTAAGCCCAGGAAGTTGAGTGAATATATATATGCATATGCTGGTGTGAAACAGCCCCACCAATTCATTGTAAAACAATATTGCACAATGACGGATATTTGAAACAAAAAATGGGGGAGGGGTAAAATAGCTTCCACAAAGTGAAATTCGCTGACCGTTGCCGAACTCACAATGCATACAAGGTAGGTGGACAGGGATTGGGCCTATTTTCAAGGAAAGGGGAGTGAAAGTGAACGTCTATAGTCAACACACAGGGTGCACAGTTCAACTGTGCATACACATTTTTCCAGCGAGAAGTGAAAACAACGCCATTTCTGTCGGTTCGCTACCACCTGTTTCACAGTCTTCCAACAAACAGTTTCAGAGACTTTTAGATCCGTCTGGAAAATGGAAGACACCTCGAGTTCGAAACAATATTTTTAACGCTTATTTGCACGACGGTCTTCGCGGCATTCATAGTGTGTGGTGAACCACGTAGTCACGAGGATCTGCTGCTCAGAAATGGTAACTGGCAACCTAAGCCCCGGGACTTGGAGTGGAGAACGATAGGTTAGACGTGGTATAGAACCGGACGACAGTAAAAGTCATATCCAAAAATTCTTAATGGAGCACTGTGGGAAACTTTTTCAGAAAACTCAAAAAAATCGAAGTATGACGCAATGAGAATGAAAGTCGTTGGTAAAAACCAGTGACTCTCCATGAATCATTGGAGTACCACGGACTGAAGGGATAACAAAGCGGACAAATGAAATAGGTGGACAGTTTCATACTGGTCGAGTATTTGAATAGTACGCATCAGTTTGACTCATTTGATTTTGCTCCTTGTTTTTTTAATGATGATCCAGTACTCTGACGAAGTGCCAAAATACAGAGACAAATTATCTCATGAAAAAGAGCAAAGGAACCTACCGACTTTGTAGCTGATCACACTTGGCTTGCATTTTCTCCAATGGGAATATCTTGCGTTCGATAAGGGCACGACCCTCGGCTAAAACGCTGTCGATTCGGTCATCATTAGCAGCAATTTGGGCTTGAAGAGCTTCCCACTGTCTCAGATTTTCTTGTGCTTTTTCGAGGGATGTCTGTTGAGAAACAAGTTACATAAAATGAAATTGCGAACCGGAGATAAATAGGTGTGAAATCCGTGTAATTAAATAGAGACATAAAAATGAAATTTACTCGTTTCGCGTCTTATATACTCTTATTTTGAACGGCCACTCCCATGGTGCAGTTTCACCTATTGTCTATTGCTTCTCCATCTGTTCGACCAACCCTGTAATTTCATAATCTCTGCCGTACGTGAGGTGTACGCGTGAGAACCAGGCTGGTTTTAGACCCGGTTGAGGCTGTATTGACATCTTTACTTTCCGTCAAATCCTGGAGCACCGATATTCTTTTCGTAGACCCACCATCTCTGTCTTCCTAGATCTGAAAACGGTTTTCGACTCAGTCGACCGCTCTAAACTCGGGCGCTGCCTTTCCCTGAAGGGTTTGCCCGAGAAGTTTATTTCAATATTACGATCGCTTTATACCAATAGCCGAAGTCGAGTCCGGGCTTACGGCACTTTTACGCCCGAGTTTACCACGGAAAGTGGTGTTCGTCAGGGTTTCCCTCTTTCTCCATTTCGATTTAACTTTCTTATAGAGCTGATTATGGAAACAGCCCTGTCCTTGTACAAGGAAAATGGCGTCGATTTACTCCCAGGTGGCAGACTGTCTGATCTAGAGTGTGCAGACAACATTTTGCTACTAAGTGAACATTCAGGTAAGTTGACAGCTTTTCTGGATAGTTTGAGTGCCAGCGTAGCCATGTTCGGTATGCGTTTTGCACTATCAAAGTGTAAAATGTTGCTAGAAGATTGGGTTGGTCCAGTACCCAGCCTCACTCTAACTGGGTACATAATAGAGCAAGTGGATACGTTTTGTTATTTGGGCAGCTACATCTCACCCGGTGGACGCAGCACGGATGAAGTGTCAGCTAGCATACAGAAGGCTCGATTGGCATTTTCCAACTTGGGACATCTATGGCACCGTCGCGACATCCGGCTGTCTGTAAAGGGTCGAGTGTATGCTACGGCAGTTCGGCCAATTCTACTATACGGAGCAGAAACTTGGCCATTAAGAAAACAGGACAAAGAAAGACTGTCGGTGTCTGAACAACGCTGTCTACGCAGCATTACATGCATCTAGTGGGGTAGCCGGATGAACAATGCTGAGGTTAGGTGTAGAGTTTTGGGTATCCGCGGTCGCGGAGCAAGTGGTCGACCTCCATGGATTACGTTGGTTGGGGCATGTGTTACGCATATCACCAAATAGGTTGTCACGGCGAGCGATGTTCGCCGAGGCAAGTAGTGGGTGGAAGAAAGTCAAGGGTGGTCAAGCTAAGACCTGGCACGAGGGTATGAAAACCCTGAACAAGGGACTGGGTTACATAGNCAAGGCAGGTGGTGGGCGGAATAAAGCCAAGGGTGATCAAACTAAGACCTGGCATGAGGGTATGAAAACCCTAACCAGGAGACTAGCTCACATAGGTCCCGTTAGGTTCCCTGGCTGGGGACCACGAGATAGTGGTAACCGGGGGTTAGTGACACTGAATGATATGGCTGAGTGTCGTCAACTGTGGCGTTCGTGCATCTTCTCAATTTCTTTGCAACATTATTCCATTGAACTTCTCCATTTTCTATTCGTTTCCACTTTCCGGTTTTTCTCCTACTGTTTTATCCAAATGGGCAACCAAAAGACAGTAACCAAAACCGACGCACGAAAGTGTATGGTTACTGGT